GACATCTGGCACATCCACCTGAACCTTTGCTGCTTGTGGATTTGGAGAAGGAACTTTGGACTTATCTACCTCATGACTACTGTCTCCTGGACCTGTACTCATAGCTGGCATAGGAGCTTGTCGATTCCTCTCTCACGATATCGGAGTAAGAGCTTCTTTGAGTTGGATGCGGAAGGTGGAATAATGAGGAGAGACTTGTGCTGGTGGTCATTAACCCACAATCTGAACACCTAATTCAGTCAAGTATGTCTGCTATTAAGGATTGGTCAATATCATGATTAAGGTCTCCACAAAGCTAATATGCTGGTTCTCCTCCACAGTAGGTCCCACAGTCAAGATCATATTATTGTCTTGACCGAACTAGTACGTGGTAAGCTCAGCCTGTTCCAACGCCAATATCTGTTTAGCTAGGCCTCGGGTATTACTGATCTGCCATATAAACATCTCTTGTTGTATATGCATCTACTTTCTTTCTGCCATCACTATCTCTATCCTCAACTTTGTCTGAGCTTGCTTGTTCCATTAGTCAATGAGTTTTGGAGCTTCCATTAGGGGTTTTACAACTTTCGGAAGGATATGGAGTTCCTTAACTTTCTAAGTGAAATCTGCAAGACTCAAACCTTGCCCTTGCCTTTCAGATGATACTGGAATGCCTAGCGTCTGCTGGGTAAATAATTCTAATAAGATCACAGGGTCTAGGACAACGATTTTCACATAATCATCAGGAAGGTCAATATTCGTAGCTTCCAGCACAAGGTCCATGGGTTCCCAACGAAGGCTGCAGGTATCAGCAAATGCTTTACCTTGTAAGTACCATTAGTAGGTATCTGCCCTAGTGGGGGGAAAGTGAAGATCTAGGTTCAACATAGTAATATCTACCTGATACTTGTAGTTCCAGACCAGCAACTCGTACTGAGATTATGTCAATTCAGGGAGGTTAATACCAACAATTCCCAAGAGTAGGGAGTGTGAAGAGAGGTCTTCAGTTAACGATATAGTGTTACAGGTACTCCATCAAGAAACATAGTGCTTGAGGTCACAACTGCATAGAGATCAATTCTTCTGCGAAGGGGAAGAAATATAATAAATTTGAAAGTCTCCACCGTCAAGGTTGAAGAAACGAAACAGAATAACCTAACATAGTTTAGCTACAGGTTTACTCAATTAAGTCATGATCTCAAGAGGTATTTAATTGTCAGAGTAGAAGTGAAGTCACATATACCTAAGTAGATTTCATATATGCTACCAGTTACTTTTCATCATTAGGCTGCATTCACGAGTACCCAACACCCTTGGACTGTCTAGCCAACCTCTACAGATCATACCAATGATCCTAGCTAGCAAACTAGACTACTCTATGGTTGGCTGGTATCGATCCAACAGAAGTGTTTTAGCCACTGCATCTAAAATGTAACTGCAAGAGTAAAAATTCTTCTTATTGTAGGCCTGTCAGTGGCAAGCTGACATGCTCAAGCCAATATAATAGCAGCTATAGAACTCTCTACAGATATAGACTTAGTCTTTTACAAGTATCTGCAGCTCTTGAACAACTATCTTGTTCTACTCCATTCTGTATCATTCCAATAATGGCCATCTACCTCCCCCAATTTACTTCTTTTGAGGTAGACCAGGAGTTGGTGCTACCCACTATCAACCCTGGTATAAGTAGGTCTCATCATAACCTTAGACAGGTACCTCAGAGCCGTTAATGATTATCGAATACTATTATGCTTTCGGGGCAGATGGACTTCCTTTACCTCGCCAATAGGCCTCCAGTAACCTCAAATACTACTTCTAACTTCAAAGTGGCATTACTCCATTGGTTCTGGTCCACTTTGTACAAAGCTACCTGGAGACCATTCTCCATGTTCACTTCCACTCCCTCAAATATCCTCCAGACCGCTACCTGTCCGATGGATGGTGTGAGCATAAATGCTGTTACAAGAGGGTCCTGACATATAGACTTTTCCTAAGCTTACAACAACTCTCCAGGTTATAGCCCATAATACTAGGGACATATAACAGGGCTGGATAGGGATATTAGCCACTATACCCCCAAGTTGCAGCTAGTTCAGAGCGCTATCAGTTCTGTGGGAGTGATCCTTACATCCTGATATTCGAATATCCTATGTAGTTTCACATGACTTACAATTAAGGAACTTTCCCTAAAGTCCTGCATAACAAGTTTCTTTCAAGGTAGGGTAACTTGGCTCCATACTAGGGTAACTGATGGCCTGAGGCAGAGTAACCCTGGTGCAAAGGTAGAGTAACAGAAACCTGAGTTATTCTACAGAGTAGGGTAACTATACCCAGACTTACTGTCAAGCAATTCAGGGTAACTCTCAAATTGACTACTTTGGTTGCCCTATCCAGTAGGATAACTACCGCTCCTTACTAGTACTTATGAACTTTTTAGTATGGCATAGTATGTCGAACTGAGGGACCTAATCAACAGTACCTCTACTCACAAGACTCTCATTTACTACCATTCCTACAGCGGTGGTCTCTTAACACCTCTATGCACATAGGTTTAGCTAACTGTAATAGTACTTCATGGAGTCTCATTACAATCATTCATGCAAGCCGACTTCAGGCCCGATGATCGATATCCCCTTGCATTCTACTTTATCCCTTCACCTCGTACTCAGCATCGATTAATATGAGCCAGTCAAGTAGCCAAAGAGGCAGCTTTATAATTGTCAATGAGATGGACTTTTTGTGGTGGGAGCTGTTTAGGAGTAGAGGCACGTTGGATTGGGGTCATGTAAAAATAAACAATAACAGAATTAACTTTTGGAATTGTAACATGATGCGATAGCCATTTGCATAAAGAAATACTTTAGTCTGCATCTGGTGTGTCAACAACCGAAAGCAGCATTATTATAAGGACATTAAGCTATAGATACTATCAAAATTCATTTCTTGTATCTTTAAAGACAACCTCCCCAAGTCAGGACAAGAGATACCAGGCTCTGAGTAACAAAACAAGATAAGAGCCAAACTAGGACACATCATGCAAATCTACCGGTAGGGAGAGTAGTAGGTAGGAGGAATCATGATGAAGGAGGTAGATACCATGGGATGCCAGCCTGACTGGGTAAGAGTTATTGTATCCAAAATAAACCAGACAATAAGTTGCATCACTGAAATATCAAGAAGAAAGCCACAGGAAATTAGGACGAGGTGGGCAGAGATAAATGGTATCATGGGGACAGGGCCTGGAATCAGACATCGTCAAAAGACAGTAGTGAAGGATACAACTTCAGCAGGTCGTGAGGCTGTAGGTTCAAAGGTGGTCAGAACACACGCAATATAGGAGGTGGGTGTCGGGACGGCAAGAAGACGGAGGGATACACAGAACATAATTCAGGACCCAGTATGTATGTAATGTCATATCCTGGTTAACAGTTAGCCTTTTTAGCATTTCGTGCATTAGACAGACAGGATGTACAGGACACAGGTAATAATTTTTGCTAATGCTCTACCTCCTATTACTTATCAACTAAACTATCTTGAAAAAAAAAAAATTTCTAATGAGTAGCTATTGTGCAATACTTTAAAAAAACACCTTAATAATCAACCACTCAACAACAACCATGCCTCTAAAATATACTAGCCATTTCACAAAATTTGAGAAGGAGGAAATTATAACTTAAAAGAAAAATTTTTTTTTTGTTGTATTTACAGAAATTGAAATGATCCTGAGGTTGTTACAAGAGTATTATCCTAAGTTTCTAGAATAAATATTAAAACTAAAGTTATGAGATAAACCTCCTGATGACTGGATGATCAAAGATTATCAGTATCAGAACCTATCGCCACCTAGTCAGAAAGTCTAAAAATTCACACCATAGTTACTCATTTTTATTACCCCGATGAGGTTACCCTACTGGCCTCAGTGAAGACTATAAGTAAATTTAGTTTTAGTTAATAGCAAACAGAGAGCTAGGGAGTGGGCATTTCTGGAAAATAAACATGCTATTAAGAGGTTAGTTTGAGCTAAAAGGTATAAGAAGTGGACAAAAGAAGAATATAGGTATATCATTTTTATTAATAAATGCATGTTTGAAAAGTCTGAGGATTATAAGACTAATTGGGTATAAAAAATTTTCAGATGAAAATTTTTATAAGGACTGTAAGCAGGTGTTATAAAGGAACAGGGAATGAAGCTAATGGTGTAGGCCTGTATTTGAACAAAAATAAAAGTCCTCTAATTCCTACTTTTGAAAACAATATAAATAGATTGGTATATATATAACAAAAAGTTTTGTCCTAAGTTAGCACTTTGTGTTTTGCGTCTGAGTGGAGCTGTATACCTTATTGCCTGCTTCAACCAACAATGCAAATGATATAGATCTACCTGTATTTTCTTAATATTTCTCTTCACTAGGGATTATTGTTTCCTATTATTATTCAGGTTCATTCTCCTTAGGACCACTTTTATTTCCTACAGAATTTTTTCACTAACCTGCCCCTCCCTCCCTTGACTATGGAACGCATTTTATTTACCTTAATCCCATTTGTGTATACAATAATTTCTGCCTTCAACAAAACAGATTCCAACAAGCGAAACAACAGTCAATAAAACATAGTCGCTAACTTGAATATCAGGAGAAAGCACGAATCATTAATTATGAAATCGATCAAATTGTTTTCATCTTTTACTTCGTGGTGAAGGACTAATTTCTCAATGTTATAACTTACAGGTTTTTTCCCTATATCGCCCGAGGCCGAGGTGTATAATCTTGATTTACTTTCAATATCGATATGATTAATGATTAATTTCGCTAGCGTTGATAATATTTATTTTGTTTTGTTTAAAGCCGTGTCATGCTTCTTAAATCACAATGAGTTTTTAGGCAAAGCTTGCCGTGCTTGCGGTAGGTTTGCAGTTGGCTGCCTTGTGCCGTACTCGGAGTTCAACTGATTGATGGTCCCAACAAAAACATACTAGTAATAAGCACAAGAATGCTGGACCGCCTGCGAAGAGCGGGATATCACCCAACCGACTTCCTCCATTCCTCCCTCGAGTGCCAAATCCCACTACTCCCCTCTAGAAGATGAATACTCCTTAAACAACTGCCTCATCTCCTTCAGAAAGCATGTCAGATCCCGAGTCTCGTTCAACCGATCAACCCACTTCCCCACCAACGCAGAATCAAGCTTTGGTCGGCATTGTATGACTACCCACGTTAGCCATTTATAACAACTTTCTCGACAAAGTAAATGAATGTACCTTCATAATCTCTTGTAACCATATTAATAATGAAAGAAAACTCCTTTGACCAATCTGAATCAACAATGTGGGTGTACACAATCCTAAGATGGTCTGTTACGCCCGCGCCCTCGATGCGCATTCCAAGATGGTCCTCCCAGAAGGCGAGTTCAGGGGCGTTGCGCGAAGATTGGAAGGAGAGTGCTTTGCGCTCCTCAGCTCGAACTGTCGAGCGTTAGAATCGTGACAAGCAGGAGGGGGTAGTCGGGATGGAATCACTCTCTCGCTTTTTTCGGATGGCTTCCTGTGTAGCTTCAATCTGCGCGACTAAGTGAGCCTTGTGCTCCAGCCTGGACTGCTTCTTGCGGTCCATTTCTGCGATCGTGTGTTCTGCTTCGGTGGCTTCCAGTTGCTCCTTTGCCACATCTGGAAAACAAATGAGTACGGTGTATCGCATGGGACTGGTGGTTGAAACTTACTCTCTGAGACATCCTTCTCCTTCTGCTTGTAATGCTCAATCTCCTTCTTTAGTATCCTCTGAGTATCTACCCTTCTGTTAGAACGGTATCCACATGTTTACTAGCGCCAACATCACCTTTATCCTCAACAATCGTCTTCGCAAACTCATTCTTCTCCTCGAGAATCCTCCGGCGCCCCTTCTCGATAAAGTCGTCGAATCGCACGGTGAACCTTGCCATCCGGTCTTTGAGCTCTTCGAAACCAAAGTTTATTTGGGGGAGCGTCGCAGCCATGCTATGGTTAGTTGCTTGTGGGGAGGACAATGCGTGTGTTTGCGATGAGGGGGGGGCTGATGAGGATGCGAGGTTGAATGACATGTAAATATTTAGTATCTGGGTGCTTGTGTGTGAATGTATGACATGATAATATTATGTGGTCAACAAAGAGGGGAGATGAGTCGAACGAGCGGGTGAATGGGCAAGTGATTAGTTGTGGAGAGAGGATGTAGGTTTGTCGGGAACAGTCTCACGTATGATAGTATCATACTGTTGGATTATCAGCCCAAATCAGCCCTCGGTCCACAATAGGATTGGTTTGACGGGTTAACAGAGTTGCGAGTAATTGTTAACGAAACCCAACATGCTCACTGGGCCGATCTTATACTATGTCAGGAAGAAGCTAATCCTTTTTACAATCGTTTGACTAAGAATCTAAGAATATTATAAGTACTCGAGTACTAGTACAAGTACTAGTATCATACCCGACAATGTTTTACCAGAGTGAATTTAGGATACCCCGAAAAATAACCCTTCTGCCGGAGATGGAGAATTTCGTAGCGTAAGGCCCCCGGTGGGTGTCCGACAAGGTCACGTCGTCAGGGCAACCGAAATCAGCCATTCCATTTTAGGATCGAGACACCTTTCAGGAAACAAGACCTCTCTACCCGAGTTAGACTAACCGGCAAACCCTTCTACAGCTACTACGCCACTACACCGCACCCATTATCCATTTGTCGGGCGAGATATCTGATCTGCGCTTACATACCTACACACCATGAGCGGGTTCCAAGATGTGCGCGATGTGATGGAGCTGTCTGGACCTACAGACGCCACAGCACGAGTTCCTATTGCGAAGAAGCAAAAGACAGTGGAGCGACGGCCAGGTGTGCCCTCGCAATACCTTTCAAACGCCATGACTGGATACTGATATCCCCACCCATAGATGGGATTACTAGAGAGCTATTTGCGCTCCTCGGCGAAAACCCACCACCGGTAGCGATTGTCGAGAGCAAGTTTAAAGAAAAACCACGATGGATGGGAAAAGTCAATCCTTGGTACAAACTCTCCTCCTCCCCCATTACACATCATTCCCCCATAGTACCAGACAGGAGCTAACACCAAAGCCCAACCAGGGTGTGGAAACCCTTCGAAAACCCCGCCAGATCTGACGGCTTGGTCCTTCGCCACTGGGAACGAAAGTCCGAACCCTCACAAGACCTCGAGTACCAATTTGGTAAATTTAACGTCAAGGTCGACGTGCCTGCGTACACGGACGGCGAGTATGAAGTTCTCAAAGACCCAGATTGGACACGGGAGGAGACGGACTACCTTTTTAATCTTTGTCGGGAATATGACTTGCGCTTCGTTATCATCTGGGACCGGTACGAGTTCCCCGCAGGGAAGTCCCGTAGCGTGGAGGACATTAAAGCGCGTTATTACTCTATCTGTCGGAACCTAATGGAACTTCGAACCCCGCTGAATCAGATGACACCGGAGGAGACTCAGATTTTCAATCTGCTGAATTTTGATAAAGAGCGAGAGACTGCAAGGAAGAATATGGCGGAAGTGCTGTTCGCGCGAACCCCAGAGCAGGTGAAGGAGGAGGAGATGTTACTTGTCGAGTTGGGAAGGATAACAAAGAACCAGGCGAAGAATCTGGAAGAGCGCAAAGAGCTATTCAACAGGTTGGAAGTTCCAACATCCCAGGGCTCTATCGCAGCATACACAGGAAGTCAGGGACTCGCCCACCTTCGAGAAATGATGGTAAACAGCAACGACAAGAACAAAAAGCGGAAGTCAATAGCCTTGGGCAGCAACAATTCCAACAACACCGACGGCCCGCAACAAAGCTTCGCTGTAGCAACCTCGGCCGAAAGGCTGGGCCCAGGTGGGGGCGGGGGCGGCCCCTCGCAAAAAGACACCCCGCAGCCCAAAAAGCAAGTGCGCAAACTCACCCCAGAGGAGGAATTAGAGTTCGGCGTCACATACCACGACAAACTCACCTCGGGCGTCAAGTTCCGCTCCGCCATGGTCACGGCCACGGTCAAAGGCGGGACAGCGCAGAAGGTGCAGGCGGCGCTGGCTCAATTGGACATTTCACCAAGATTGGCAATGCCCACAACCCGCACCGTGCAGAAGTTCGAGCAGTTACAAACTAGTGTTGGTGTCCTGCTTGATGCCCGGAAGGCGAACGATAAGATCGATAATGAGCAAAGGGTTTTGAAGGCGCAGATCGAGGCTGCAAAAGAGGATACTTGATGGGGGGCTAGTTTTTTTCTTACATTTATTCCGATAATATGGCGAAATTGTAAGGCATGTTTGGAAGCTTGGACTTGTACGATAAATCGTTCCCCCTTCTCCCACTCAACTCATGTCATTGACTGCCTACCTGCTTCTTTGGGTTTCCTCTAAGATCGAGACAGTTGTGTACGTCCGTGTGGGACGTAAGATAATCAAGAACCACCCCCCAATTCCAGTCTGCAATTCAATCGCATTGAAATAAAAAAAAAATCGTATTCATACAGAAAGATGTGAAATGATAATAATGAAATGACATCCCCATTTTCTTTCGCTGGTACGAGTACGATACCATAGTCTCTTCCACAATAAGAGGCTGGGAGACCGGCAAAGTTAAACTCGAACAATATGGGGAAGCCAAGGCCACCGACGGAGCTTAAAAGGAACAGATATGGTTTTTGATGGTTGACGGAAAAAGGGCAAAAACGCGGGGAAGAGACAAACTTGGGAAATGTGGAAAGAGGGGACCGAAAAAAGCAAAGGAAAAAAAAAGAAAACGAAAAGACACGAAAAGGAGTTCCATGGTGGGCAGAGCTGGGACAAGCGGGGAGGATGACCTCCTCATCTCATCTGATCTACCGGTACTCTACATCGAATCAGAGACACAACAAGCGAGAACCTACCTAACTACTCGCGCCCCCCTTCCCCCGCTCTCTATCCCCGCCTCTTTTCTCCCCGGTTCCCATCATCCAGACTTCACTGTTAACCCGAAGACCAAACCCATACTCAGGTATGACAGAAAGACAAATGAGCAAACAAGAAATTCCCAACAGCAGCCAATCCCCACAGATGAGGATCGAATATTTATAGACAGAAGAGGAAGAAGTGGAGAGCAGTAAAGAGAATTAAGCTACCCCCTCACCCGCAGCCCCAGCATCCGGCAACGTAACGTCACCCGCAGCATCCTTCTTCCCACCACCCTCAGCATCCTTCTTCGTACCATCAAGGCCGACAACTTCCTTAGCAACCTGAAGCGACACGTGTGCGGAGGCCTTCGTCTTACGCAGAATTTTGCCCGGGTGCGTGGCGGCGGCGGCGTCGCCCGAGGTCTTCTCAATAATGATGACACTGCGGACGGTTCCCTTGGGCGACTTCTTGATGCCAAGCTTTTCGTGGAGCTCGTAGGTCGGGTCACAGAGGAGTGTGTATGTCAAGTTCTGCTTATTGCGAAACTTCTCATTCGCGACAGGCTGGTCACCCGAGAGGCCGTAGACGGAGTAACCGGCATCCGTGAAGGCGGTGTAGTTATCCCTGAAGAGACAGGCTTGCGTAGTGCACTCTGGGGTGGACGCTATGGGGGGGGGAATTATTAGCTTTGGCTTTCTCACCTTGATTCATGGGGTGGTGATGATGGGGGGGGGTATTGGGGCATCGTGTCTTGGGATTTTTCCTCATATATCCGAGCACGGACTAGGCGGCGTGGTTGGAGGTGGGGCCTAGGGCGGGGAGGGTTTCTTAATGTACGTATATAATGTTATTATAATAATACCTTTAGGATAAGCAAAGATCACGATCCCCTTTGAAGCTTGCGCGAGAATAGCTGTCAACGTGGTTTTCCCACCATCATGGGTCTGAACCTCTGGTAACGTGTTTGGCAATAAATCGCCATCCCCGAGTGCGGCTGCCGCTTCCTCAGCTGCATCGGCTCTCTTGGCCTTTGCCTTTCCACTCTTCGCCTTAGCGGCAGATTTGGTACCGGCAGTAGTAGTAACAATGGTAGTAGTTACTGTCGGTGCAGCAGAAGAGGATTCTGCCGCCGGAATTGGCGCGGCCTTTACTTCAGCAGCCGCCGCAGACGCGGATGCCTCTCCCTCTGGTTTCTTCTTGCTGGCGTCCTCCTTCTTGCTGTCCTTATCCTTACTTACGGCATTCTTGACAACAGTGGGGGCCTTGTCGACCACCGTTCTTGCCTTTTTCGCGGAAGGCTTCTTAGGCTCCGTGGATGCGCGTTTCTTGGGGGCTGGCCCGGGTGCAGGGGGTGGAGGGGCCGCTTCCTTCTTTGCGATATTCCGTCCGCTTCGACGTAGAACTGGTTCGCTCATTTTGTGGGGATGGGGTGGATATCTGTGTTTTTTGCGCGTTTAAAAGAAAGGCAAAGTTGTTTTTTAAGGAAAAGATTGGCAATGCGTGAGTTTTGGAGGCACGCAGAGGCACGTAGTTTATTTTCGCAAGTGCTTTTGGAGTGGAATTGGTGGATGGGGGAGAATTGTGGGGTGGTGTTTATCGCGTTGGTGGGCAAGTACCACGCGGTGGTGCTGGTGGTTGGTTGTCTTATGGGGAAGTAGAGGAGTTGAGTGACAGAATGCAAGGGGGCAGAGGAAAGGGAAGGGAGAGGGAGAGGGGAAAGTAGTTCTAACAGGATTAGGTCCTCAGAGGTATTTATGTCGAGTGGTGGGGAGGGGGTGAGAGAGCAGTGTGGTACTGGAGGGTGAGGCAATACCTTACGAGTACGGTATGTGTTTATGAGAGGCGGAGGTTGGAGGGCGGGCAGAAAGGATCAGATAAACTTTGCTCTCGTGCCTTCTGCCCCCCCAAATTTCATTTATTTAATTTTCTTTCATTCAATCTCTTTCCTACCATTTGACCAATGGGGAATTAATAGAAATAGACAACAGATATATGGGGTTTCTCCCTCTCCTGGGAGGGGAAATAATTGGGAAAGTCTAGCTATACTTGAAGCATACAAATAAATATAGCACCTATAAAATGAGAGGATGGAAAGGGGAAAGAAAGAAAAATAAACAGCTAGGGAAATAAAAAATAATAAGGTAGGCCTGCAGCGCTCTGAATCACTATTGTCCGGGGATAAAATTAACTAGCTCTCAACGGCAATGGCAATGGCAACGCTCCGCTCCCCTCCTCATCACCCCGCTCCCTCAACACTTCCTAAAGAAATTGCTCTACACTAACCAAAACCAAACCAATTTACTTAAATTTTTTTTTTCAATAAACTATGCCTCCTATTCTTCGCAGTCATGCCAAACAGCCTATTCCCTCCAAGCACCTTTCTGAGTTTACAAGGGGACAAATTCTTGGGTTACGCGAGCCTCAGATGACAAATCACCAAATTTCCCACTACCTTGACATTCCTCTCAGTACTGTTAAAAGCACATTTGCAAAGAGAGATCAAGAGGGCAAGGAGAATGATGGTAGAGGAAGACATCCTAAAACTACCAAGTTGCAGGATGATGCTATGGTAGAGGAAGCTCTCAAAAATCGCCATACCAGCTACTCTGAGATTGCTGAAAGAGTGGCTCCCAATGTTTCTGCTAAGACTGTGAAGAGAAGACTTGCACAAAAGCTTCTTAAAAAGTGGATGGCACAAGAGAGGGTTCATTTGGATGAGGATCTAGCTCAAAAGAGATTGGAATGGGCATTAGCCCATCTGAATTGGACAAGACAGATGTGGAGAAGGAAGACAATATAGGGGGATGAGGTAGCTGTGGAGAGGGGAGGAGGAAAGAGAAGAAAATGGGTATTTAGATAGCCAAAAGAAAAGTGGGATAAGGATTGTGTTGAACCTACTGCTAGGAAAGGAGAGAGAAAGATTAGTCAGATGATGACTGGTTGTTTCTATGGTCAAACTCATGGTCTTTTTTTACCTGTTTTTCCTGATCCTACTTCTGCTGGAGTTGGAGTGACTGGAAAGTCAATTATTGATGTTTATGATCAATATGACTTTCCAGGGATATGGGAGGATATCAAGGAGCATGTTGGAGATGAAGAGGTATTTTTGATCATTGATAATGCTAAGACTCACTTGCCTTTCAGGAGAGAAGCAAAAGCAAAAGTTTTATTGGTCTATCTAAAAAGGCATCTCAGTCCAGCCGACGAAACCGTGAAATCTATGAATCTTCGCAAGTGCGCCCTTAGGAGCATCAACACCGTCATCCTCATCATAACCCTGATGGTAGATGTTGCCATTGGCCTCGGTCTCAATCGCGGAGAACGGGGTCCTATCCATGGTACTGAGTGAAGGAGAATAGAATCCTACCCACAAGACGGGCGCCTCCTGATACATGGGCTTCGCAGGGTTCTGCTCAAGGGTGGGGCATTGATCGAACACGACGTAACGTCTAGGTCGGCACTTGAAACAGAACGACCTCTCCTTGACGGACATGCCGGGCGCACACCGCAAGAGCTTGTGAACAGTTTCGTACAGTATCCGGCGATAGTGACGTTTGTTCTTGGCCCAGAATCCGATCCATTCCCCGTTGCGTTCCTGTTGGTCGTACAATAGGGGACCATCAACCTGCTTCAGGGCGTTGACGGTACTGGCGTAACCGCTGGGCGCGACCCCCACCAGATTGGGAGCGGGGGGTGGAGTATTGTTAGGTGGTGTCAGGAGACGATGGAACAGCGTCCAGTTGGGAGCGGCTAACGACTGCTGGGAGAAACAGATAACGCGCATGTAGATCAGGCGACGCCAAGTGAGACGGAAATTGATGGAAAGTTTCTGAACCTTGATGATAGGATGATAACGTAGATGCTTGCGCTCCTCGAATTCAGACGTCATAGCGTCCGCCCGGGCCCCGGCATTGCCTAAGCGATGATGTCCCAGTCGGATGACTTGCCATGTTGGGAGAAAGAAAGTGCGATTGTCGCCCACAGTAGGGGCTGTGACGATATAGTGACTCTGATCCTCCGGGGACGGTAGGGGACCTCTCAGGATGGTGCTATGCCAATTGACATGCTTGCGATGCGCTACGGCAGTGCGCACCTTACGGCGGAAGCGCCTTGTGGGCATCTTTCTCTAATAGCAAAGATCCTACCGACGACGAAAAGGGTAATGACGATGACGAACACCGTAAAAACGACATCGATAATACCTCATACCCTCCTCCGATTTGGAATCCGATGGGATGTCCTCGAGCGTATGATAGACCTCCGGATGATGTTGACCTAAGTATGACTCAGTGACAGATGGGGCCGATTCACTCTGTGACGTTTAATATGACTCATCGTCTTGTTGACTCATAGGCGCATGTGTGTGTATGTGTGCGTGAAAGAAAAAAAAGAACAGGGAAGAGTGGGAGTCGTGAATATTTATGATGCAAATGCGCACACAGACCCCTGTCACAACAAACAATAACCAAAAGAGGAAACCTTGGAGTAGAGTCCCACCACTCCCACTCCGACTATAATATTAAATAGTTGGAATGGGAGCACGTGACACCCATTGGGAGCCGTACGTACCTCACTTAGGATATAATGGGACACATTTCCGCCCGTGTGAAGGATTCGTTCCAACAATGAAACCACCACCGCCATGACTCCCATCGATAAAACACAAAACCTCTCTCTCCATGCTTCCCCTATACTTCCTGAGACTCCTCCTCCTCCTGTTGCGAATAGTAGCGAATGTTCTGTATGCCCTACGACCGATCCCGACACACTGAGCGAGATGAGCGAACTACCTCTCCTCGAACGCAAACCATTGCCGATACTGACGCCGACCCAAAGGAGGAAACGGAAGGCAGAAGGGGAGGCCGTGAAAGTACTCCTCAACATGATGGACAAGACCCCGATGCCATCATCACCACCTCAACTCCAATCGAGTGGTCGCCCACCCCGCAACCCGAACCGAGTTCCCGGCTGGTGGCAACACCTGACCTCGGAACAATTGTCCGACCTGTTCCTCGCGGAAGAATCTGTACAAAATACCTGCTGGTCATGTACCCCCATTGTGACGATCTCCCGCCTGAACCGATTATCGACGCTTGCAGACAATGTGGTCTTCACCTCATACTTGGACAGGAATGTCACGCAGATGGAGGAATTCATTACCACGCTCTCGTCTGTCGAGTGGACGGAAAACGGTTCGAAACCACGAACATGCGATGTCTCGACGTGGAATTCGGGGGCCGTGTTTATCATACAAACCTCCAAACCGTTTACCGAACTCCTGAAAAAGCGTGGGATTATTGCCGGAAGGAAGGACGAGTGCTCGTACAGGATTTCGAAAGGGAAGATTGTAGGGGATCCGGTACAGGAAAATCTAAGGATAGAGATGCGTTGCTTGGATGTTTCGCTGCAGAAACTAAGGATCAAGTGAGTAAACCCCCTCACCAGCCCTCCGAACAGGTGGTCGATACAGAAAGACCTTGTATATTCCTCGTTGTCGTTCATTTGCATTAGAATCATAGGGGAGGATATACATGTCCCGGAGACCGAAGGCTGATGGGATGAAAAAAACAGTTTCTCGAGAATGTCCGTAGCATGGCTCCGAGACTTTATCTCGGTAGCTATAATAACGTTCGCATGGTAGCGGAGAAACATTATCCAAGCATAGAAAATGTATATAGATCTCCTTATCCTGTTGAGAGTTGGGATTTGCCTTCAGATTTGGTGGTTTGGTGTAATGGTTGGCTTTCATTGTATCGCGATGATTCATGTAGGGGTATCCTTGGTTTACGACCTTTGGCCTTGATCTTATACGGTCCTACAAGGACCGGTAAGACCGAATGGGCGCGGAGTTTAGGGTCTCATATTTTCTTTTCGGGTTTATTTAATCTTTCCTTGTATCACGAGACTTACAAGTATGTGGTTTTCGATGATGTGGAATTTACGCGTATGGATATATTTAAATGATGGTTCGGTTCACAGGCTGAGTTCACCAGTACGGACAAGTACTGTCGGAAAACTCACGTAGTTCACGGTCACCCGGTTATAGGTTGCTTTAACCATGACCCCCGCTTAGCAAACTGGGCCGATGCGGAATGGATGGATGGGAATTGCGTGTTCTTTAATGTAATTGATAAATTGTATTGCTCTTAAATATGTTACTCTCTAGGGGAATGTGACAGAGGAGGGGGCTTCGCCCCCTATCCCATCCGTAGCACTTCCTCCAGACGGTATTCACCACCATTGGACCCCACCACCAACCTAAAGAGAAGAAAATGGGTATTTAGATAGCCAAAAGAAAAGTGGAATAAGGATTGTGTTGAACCTACTGCTAGGAAAGGAGAGAGAAAGATTAGTCAGATGATGACTGGTTGTTTCTATGGTCAAACTCATGGTCTTTTTTTACCTGTTTTTCCTGATCCTACTTCTGCTGGAGGTGGAGTGACTGGAAAGTCAATTATTGATGTTTATGATCAATATAACTTTCCAGGGATGTGGGAGGATATCAAGGAGTATGTTGGAGAGGAAGAGGTATTTTTGATCATTGACAATGCTAAGACTCACTTGCCTTTCAGGAGATAGTTCAGGAGAAATGGAATTTCTCTGATGAAAATTCCTCCCTATTCACCAGACCTCAATCCAATTGAAAATGTTTGGTTTCTGGTGAAAGACAAGCTTCATAAGCACTATCCTGAGCTGTTTCTCCTGAAGGGCCCAGTCAATGAGATCAAAAAAATTATAGAGCAGGCTATCACTCATTGTTGGGAACTTTTAGACCCAAAG